CCGCACGATGACATGAGCAGGGTCTACTGCATCTTGCAGGTGGGATTCATATGTTGCGACTTCATGTGCAGTGTATTGTGGGCACAGGGTTGCATTTTTTGTTAAAAATTTTCCAGAACCCGCAAGTACTTCTAAATTAGACTTGCAAATGGATAATGCCATTTCTTTTTTTCCCAAGGGGGAAAAGAAGTTAAAACATTACAGGAATTTCCATGCCTTTTCTCCTCAGTAAAAACTGGAGAAAGTTTGCAATTAAGCTTGTCTTTTTGAAACTTTTACATTTTTTAGAACGTTCTGGTTTACATATGAAGTCATCAAGCTGACAAATCCAAACAAATGTCTTTTTAAAGCAAACCAGCTTTTTGTCTGTGGGCCTGGAGCTCAAAAAAGGTTGAACAGATTTCTCTTTCTTTCTGCCCTTCACGAGAGAGGAGTGTTAGAGTCTCAATGACATTTTTAATATTTTCAATAATTAAATAAGTGAATTTGATAGTATAATATTTGTCATCTATTGATGGAATTCAATGGTACAAAAACTACCCACAAATGTGGGTAAATTCTTTCTCCAACGATGCATTTCTAAAGAAAAAACACTGACACTATAGCTCTGAGTTAATCAAATTGATCATGTTAATCTACTGAGTAAAAAGTCACAATAGGAAATGATATGATTTCCAGATAAAATCTCAAGTGTGGCCAGTAAGGGAAGAGATTCTAATTCCTTTAAACATGTTTTTAGACCCAAACTGGCCTTGTCCTTAATCAAGAAGAGCTCAAAATCCCCATCATATATTTCCATGGTAGATGGCCATTTCACATTGAGTATGTAATTTCTTAAAAGATTTCTAGTGAGTTCATTTGGCTTATAAGTAAGAGCTCAAATTCTTTAAATCTACATAATGTTCAGCAATGAAATTTTGTACTTATGAGTATTAAATTATGCCAAAAAGCCATTTACTTGATATTCTTTAAATACCGCAGCCCAATTCAACTAAAGCTCTGATTGTAAACCATCTTAAATAACACTAATGCAATGTGTGCATAATGAATAATATAAGTAACTTAATTTTCATGTAACAGATAACATCTGGAGGAAATGTATATTGGCAAATTATGCAAAACTAATTTTCTGGCGACCACATCTGTAGATGTTATTTATTGTATGTTCACTTAACAGTCAATTATTCTGTTTAGAAATCTATTCTCTTCTTTATTATAGCTTTTAATGTACTCACCTTGGTTCAAACGGTCTGCTCATTATCAGAAAAAATATAAATGGCATTCACATGGAACAACATGATTGTTTTTATTATGTCCATTTGTATGTGCAAGCATTCAAAAATGGCAAGAGAAACACATTTATTGCTGTACATTTAAAATAATATTTAGGGGGTATTTGAAAGTCAAGCAAAACCAATCATTTGGCCAAATGGATGTATGTGTATAATCAGAAACTCCTGATTTTTAATCTCCGCATTATGCCTCAGGCAAGTCACTTCAAGCCTTTCCCTTTGTTTCCTGATCTGAAGATTCCGGGTGCTCCTCTCCGACAGAACAAGGGGGTTGCTGGAGGGCCAAATAGGAGTGGCTTTGGTTTTTTTTTTAATAAACATACTTGATCCCTTTTCTGTTTTTATTTTTCCAGATTTAAGAGGTAACATATTAGACTTTTGAGGAAAAAATATGAGACTATTAGAATTCTACAGGAATGTATAAAAATAGTTATAAAGCTAGCTTTATTTAATTTGCTTCAACTATTCATAGACTCGAGGAAATTATAATGTTCTTTCAGAAAATCTAACTTAATAAAGCTGACCATGTCTCTCTGTTTTAAATAGATTTTATTACAGAACCAATGATGTTGTAAAACATGAGGTTTTGTTAAAAAAAAAATACAAAGGCCTAATTGTATTTTTAAAAGAAAGTATTGCATCAGACGGTCTCATTTAAACATATTTGCTGGCTCTGTGCTCTTGCCACAATTATTGATTCCAATTTTTCTTGAACTTGTTTGTGTGTGTGTGTGTGTGTGTGTGTGTGTTTTCAAAGGCTACTTGAGGCTGGGAGGAATTACTTTGACACTTCTGGGTACTATGTTTATTTCAAATTATAGATTTGATAGTGTCTCTTCTTATCATTAATGAAAGTCTGTGTTCTCTTATCTAAAATTGGGGTACTTCTTTCTCTTACATTGTTTTAGTAACATTAGTAAATGTAATTCTCCATGGAAATAAGAAATCTAGCTATGGATTGGTTCAATAATACTATGCGAAACACCCTGAAGGAAAAGCAATTTCTACCCCTGCATTGTGTGTGTGTGTGTACAGATTAATTTAAATAAATGGCTAGATGACCTACACTTACAAAATTCAAGAAAAGGCGAGCCTTGCTGTCCCTGAAGCTCTCCGTCGGAGCTGCAGGATTTGGAAAGAAATGTGTACTTCACGTCACCTAAGACATGGTGATATGAAGGTGGGGAGTCCCAAGTTGTCAACCACCTGCTCAGTGTACACACACACACTCCACAGTGTAACAGTCGTGAAAATGGAACAGAGGACAATGAACTCCGATGAGCCTTATGAACAAATCCAGACCAGGGGGCCGCACTTGAAGGGGAGAGATAGGTAAGAGGGAAGAGTGAGAAATTTGAACACAAATATTGGCTTGCCTTTAAGTGTATGTATCATGAGATAAAGGAGGAGCCAATGGGTTCAATTGGTGCATGGCCTGGGTTACTAACCCAAAGGTGGAAGGTTTGAGTCTATCCAAGACCTTATTAGAAGAAAGGCCTGCTGCTCTTCTGCAAATTCAGCCATTGAAAGCTCTACGGACCACAGTTACACTTTAATGTGCCTCGGATCACGATGAGTGAATGTGATGGTTTCACGGAAGCCCCTCAAAATACAAGGGGGCTTCCAAAGTTCATGAGAAAATAATCCATTGTCTTTTCATTCTACTTTTACGTGGACTTTTTGCGGTCTCTTCATATGTATCCATTTGAATCGTCCATGAGTCTCGATAGTGAGTAATTATTCTCCATTTTGTGATCTGACTCGAGTATCTAATGTGTCATAAATCCTAAACTCCATGATGGTAATGAGGCTGGACAGGAGGCAGTGATTTAATGAGGCAGGAGACGAAACCTATGGGGCTAGGTATTTTCTTGAGTCAATCTCGTTTGAGTTATTTAAGACATTACGCAAGTGAGCAGGCAAGTGAGCAGAGATCGAAGGACCTCCAAGCAAAAGAGACGCGCTGAAAGCAGAGCGTGTGCCCTGGACCGAGTGTCTGCCCTGACTCCCTCCCAGTTTTGGAGACGAGTGATCTGCAGGAAGACAGGGAGGTCTCCCAGGACCACTGGGCCCGCAGATGTGGAAAAGAGACAGGGCCCTTGCCCCAGAAACCTCTAAGAGAACAAGTGCCCTGAATCGGGACCTGTAGCCACCTACACTGCGAGAGAGAGAGAACCCCATTTGCCAGAACCACCCCCTGGTGGCATTTCTGTTGTAACGGCACGAAATTAACTGAGACTGAACTTGACGGCTACTGGTTTCTCTTCTCCGAGGGAAGCGAGAACACAGAGGAGAAGATGGTAGAGGCTACTGCTCGCGGGACGCAGAGGCAATCTATTGGGAACTTCCCGTGGGAATAAGGAAAGACCAGCAGAAAGACCTATTTTTTGCCTGAAAAACACAGTTCTGGCAACAGGAGAAATGACAAAATTCTGCTTCACTGAAGAAAACCCTTCACCACCGGTGACCTTGGTTCTAAGGCCGCCGTGCTCCATAAACTCTCATCAGGTCCCTTCTCGCTCTCGTCATTTGAATCCTCATGCACACTCTGTAACTTTCTTTTTCTCACCCTGGTTTTGAATCTAGACTAATAACTAAATGCCTCATTGTCTGGCCTTTTCTCTGGATTCCCATATATAGATGATTTATTTTGCTATAATGTTTCAGAGAGCAATATATTAAGTTTAGCTCCTTTTCTGACCCTAGTCTTGTAAAAGAAAGAGCAATAGAGAGTGTGGGAGAATGAGCAAACAAGGTGGAACAGAGTACAAATCACTTTGTGGGAAGATGGAAATGTGTGTATACTCCACTCAGGAAAAGAAATAATGGCTCAGGAATGTGATCAGAGGAAAGAACAGTTCTGATAAGCTTTCCTAATATTTGATTTTGATTAGCACTGAGTCTTCTCGCAAGAGATGATGCCATCTAATAAAATTAAAATTAAATACTGAACAATATCACTAATTTCAAAGTATGGAAACAGTTTGCTGAAATCAGCATACCAGGTTTCACCTCCCAACTCTGTCAGAACGTGATCATTTGACCTTAAGCCAACCATTTTTAATTCCTTGGTTTCCAGATTTTTCCAGCCTATAAAATCAAACACTCTGTGCTTCTAAGTATTCATACCAAATAACAATCTTCAAACAATTAGTTAAATTTAGCAATATGAATTAAAAGGAAAATATACACCATTTTAATACGGTAATACGGTATTAATACGGTAATTAATATGGTTTTAATACGGTAATATCTTAGCTCCAGTATGTGCTCAAGCACATCTTAATAAAAGGTAAGAATAATTTTAAACGAGTTAATTTAACACGTATATTTACTTGCTATATTGTGGTGAAGTGAGAAATGAGTGTACAATGATTTCAGGTTCTTGGTAGTCCACCAGGGATGGTAATCATGGATAAATTATTAAATTATTATAATGTATGACCAGAGTTTAGTCTTCAAAAGTAGGTCTTAAACCACAGACTATAAAAGGAGACTAAAACACCGGAAGAGGCAAAATACTAATTGTAAGTTATGGAGGGCAGAAATCACCAGAGAATAAGAAGACAGGTGGCCTCAAGAATTCAGAAAGGGCATGGCAATTAAAAGCTAATAGAGAAAACTACAATATATTTATAAGGGAATTGAGTGGACATATGATCACTTATCAAAGGCTATGTCCCAATACATGTCTTTTCTTCCCTCCAGCAAGTGGTAGAGGTTGTAAAGCCCGCAGAGAGCCCTTTCCCCGGTCCTTTAGAAGAAGGAATCTCGTTTGATACTTACTCAACATTCATCATGCCTCCCCCAACATCAGTTACCGATACGAAGGTAGGCTTCTGTCTCGTCTCGGTTATCTTCTTTTCATTCACCTTACCTCCACCTTATATTCTCTGATCAGGGCACAGAGAAAGAATTAAATATGCTTCCAATTTTTTTATCTTTCTGATTTTTCCTATACAAATATAAATATTGGGTTAAGGATGGATCATCTGGGAGTGATTGGAAAGTTTTGATCACTTCCACTCCATCCTCCCCAGCCTCCACCATCCTTTCCCCAAAGGACCCAGCACCATGGCAACATGATTTGACCCCCCATGCCCTTCGTAAGTAACAAAAATGGAAAGAAAAAAAAAAAAACACCTCGAAAGCCTTACTGCTATGGAGTCAATAATGACCCATAGCTACCTCCTCAGGGTTTCTGAGACTGTAGCTTGACGGGAGTAGAAAGCCCAGTCTTTCTCTTGAGGAGCGGCTGATGGATTCAAACTGCCGGCCATGCAGATCGCAGTCCGTTGCTTGCAGGTTGGCATCAAATCAAATCTTCCTCCAGACTGCAATCATTTCTATTTGAGAAAATAAGCCCAATGTTAATGTGGGGTTAAATTTTAAAATCAGGGAATTCTCCAGAAATCACTTGAATTATTTGTTTTCCATATTCTAGGGGTTGGATCAAGAACAAGGCCCTGAGAAGAGCCAGTCAGAAACGGATGCCTCTGATATGGACCCTTTATCTGGTCTCACCATTGAAGACATAAAATCAGTGCTGGGCCAAGTCACGGAGGACGTTCTCATCAGCATTCAGGTACTCAGTACTGGTCGTGTGCGCTCTTATTGTATGACTCATTTGCCAACCGCAACCCTTCGTATCTGTAACACTGCATACACTCAACCCCCAAGAGCAAAGCTCACAATGGAGAAGTTTAATTTAACATCTCCGCCTCACTCTCGATGGACTCATCTGAGATGAATGAGATCACAACATTGATCTGCCAGCGGCATCTAGTGTCATCCATTTACCGAATCGTTCGGCATAGAAACTGAGAGATATAAATACACAGCACAGTTAAATGCCATGTCTTGTCACACAGTCCCCAGTGCTGCTTGTGCAGGAGGAATTTGAGTACATCTGTAAAATGTAAACATTGAGCCCCAAACCATTCTGAGCTCAGTTTTCTCACCAACTTTATAAAGAGACATTCACTTTTGAGCCCCTTCCAGAAGGTCTGCTCTTGTGTGCATACCACTAATTGCACAACAATTCACACCAGTGGCAACAAGAAAATGGTGGGACCGTAGCAGCTGCCAGCCATTTATCAGCCAACTGAGCTTTAAGCTTAATTTTTTTTTCATTTCCCCCCAAAAAAGGAAAAGAAGGAAATAATCAACTATACCTCAAGATGAGCTTTTGCAGGAATTCACCTCATTTCCGAAGCAACATGATTAAATAAGAGGCTTGCTTCTTCTGGGTGAATTTAGCATTTATTTTGGAAATTTACCATGAATCAGTTGGACAACATACTGCACATTTAAGATATTAATGCATCTCAGAGTGGGAAGGAGTTGTTATCTGAACATGAGACCTTATATAAAGAGCTCACTGTGCTAATAACTAATGTAGAAAGAGCAAGATATTCGCTTGGCTTAAGCATACCTTGTTACTTGTTAATCATCAAATGTTACTGCACTGTTTACATGAACATTTAATGATTTGGTGCCAACAGAATCAGCCAAAGTCCTCAGCTTAATAAGGGGTGTTTAGTGTTGACCAGAAATAGTGGAAGAACACGTTTTACACAAAGCTTTATTGTTAACAACCCAATGAGTATAATAACTGGTTACTGTGTGGAAGGGCAGAGTGCAGTTGAATTCAGCGGCGTTCAGAACATATCTCCTTTTTAGATTTGATAACATTTCATCTAAATATAGTTTATGTATAATCGTGGCCCTGGGCATCTTGCGATCCTGTGATTCTGAAGTTAGTACCAAGGAACTACTAGACAGTAATCGAATTGTTTGCAGGCCCCTCAAAATTGAAAACATCTTTAGCAAAGCCATGTTCCACGTAGTGAGCAGGATGTTTTTAACTATTTGTTGAATTTCTTTCTTTCTTTTCTTTTCTTCCCCCAGATATTAGATCCTGCAACATTTACATCACTACCCTGTAGCAGAAAGAGCAGGATTGGTGTGTGTGTGTGTGTGTGTGTGTGTGTGTGTTTTATAGGCCTAGTGGCTAGAAGCCATCCTTCTCAGGTCTAAAATATCATTAGCTGGCTCATCTAAATATAATTAGGCACAGGAAGAACTGGATCAGAAGCAGCCACTACTACCTCTCGTGAACAAATTGAACACCGTTTGAGGTGTAGAAGCCTCAATAACAAATTGAGGTATAGAAAAACTACGTCATGTGTCCAGAGTGTCGAGGGTCAGAAACAGATGAGAGACCCTGAATTAACACTGTGAACTGGGCTCTCGTCCTAATTCCCATGTTAGCCACAAAACCACACAGCCTCAATGTCACCAGACTCCTCTCGGGGTTTCATCCAGCCCGTGGTGTGGCACTTTCTCAGTGTTGACCTTGGGGCCTTGGTCAAATTCCAATTTGGGTCACTACTCTCTGCTTAACCAGATTCCTCCCCCTGTGTCAGATGGGTATGTTACTATCCACTTCTAAAACCTGCTATCTGGTGCTGTTGGCCCTGAACATGGCCACATCCTTTCCCAAAGGTCAGTGATCAGTGCTTCCCAAGGGGCTTCCCAAAAAGTTCATGGCAAATGAAATTAAAAGATAATGAAATTTGCCCACCAAATTTTTAAACCCTTTGTTATCAACTTTCTGAATAGAGCAAACTGCATTTCTTAGTGTAGCAGCATTTACCGAATTATTATTTAAAAGACACTGTAAATGTTTTCAAGGTTTTTCTTTTCTTCCTAAAAGTCATCGTTCTGAAAATTTTTAAAGGGAAAGGTAGTCAAGAATCCACATTTTAAGTTTAATTTTTCAGAGCTTATTTCTGTGGTTATAGGCATATTTCATTTTCTATATTTCAGAAGTTTCTGAGAATGTAATATGAATTCTTAAAAGTTTTAATGCACTAGTAAATCAATTTAGTTTCCCATTGCTTGCTATATAGCTTTAGAGATTTATTAAGAATGAAGTTATCTTGGCCCTGAGATGGTAATTAAAATTATACTGAGTAGAGCAAACATTTTAAATATACATAATTTAAGCATTTTAATTTTAAAGATACATTCAAAATGAAGTTCTTTTGGCCCTGATTTGTATAATAAAAATTGTACCTAATAGAGCAAATTTGAATATAGTTAAAGAATTACATTTTGGAGAAATATGAATGTTAACACTGAATTATTGCATTAAACGATAGCTCTGTCCCAACAACCCAGTCAAGCAATGTAAAAAGCCTACAGGGAAGTTTTCCATTTGCAGACCCTCAGTAATTTTAGGATAGCAGGGAAATTTCAGGTTAGAAAAATTGAGAATTCAAGGTAGTGCTCAAGGAGAGGTTCTTGAAACCAGGCTATGGGTTTTCCATTCATTCCTAAAGTAAACAGATGCAGCCCCAGACATCATGCTTGTGGGTAGCTCTTCTTTTCAGCAAGGGTTCTTGGGAATACGAGGAAGCATGGCAGACAAAGGCCAGCCAGTTCTTGACCGACACGGAGTACTTTGATCTGGACTCTGCTGGTTGTTCCTGAATGAAAGTACTGATTATCACAATCTAGAGATCTGAAAGATTAATTTCCTTTCTTGGTACGCCAAACACTCTATGAGGCATGCACCTTGCCTTCATGAAATTTCCCTCAAGACCCACACATGATTAGATGAATTCTACTTCAGTGAAACTCCTGAAATAATTCCAGGTTTGTGGGGTACCAGCCCCCACAATCGAACAGGTCCAAGGGGTGGTTGTATAATTGAGGGTAAAATTAAAGAGAAATCCGACAAGATAAGGCATGCGAAGGCCATGATCTCAGCAGTCAGGTCCATGCAGAGAGAGTGAATATATTTCCAATCATGGCTTATAAACATTTTGGGGGATGTGCAAGTCCCCCTAGTTAATTCATAACAGAAAGGAAGGAGTTGCACTATAGGCATACATGCAATAGGAGGGGGATGAGGTAGGGGTGTATAAGCCATAGGAAGGGGCAGGGCTAAGGGTACATATGTGACAAGATGGGCGGACTCTAAAGTCAAGATGGCATCCCAACCTTGACCCTCCTAGAGTTGGCTTGAGCTTGTCTTTGAGCTGTCCTTCAGGGGAATAATCCACTATCCCGGTCAGCAGGGAGTGGGCCCCACCTAGGGTGGGACAGACAATAGGGTCAGATTGCTCTAGATGGCTGATAACCCTCAGGGAGAAAACCTTTAAGCAGCTGACCTTCACGGGTATAGACATTGACAACGTGCTAGCAAGCTAGAAAAACTAAGAGGGAAGAAGACACTCAGCAGTGTTCAAGCTGAAATAACCGAAGGAAAAATTCACGCCTCAAGTTGACATATAGACAGATGCTAGAGGCAAACTATAGACCAATGCAGGAAAAATCAAGGAAAGGTAGAAGAAATACAGTGTCACTCTACCAAAAACAATTGGCCATCATTCAACCAATCCAAGAGGAAGGATATGATGAAGAGTCGATTGTGTTGAAGTGAGAAGCCCTAGAGCTGCATTGATGGCACTGACAAAAACCACAGCTGCAAGAGTTGTGGCTTAGCAATTGAGATTTTTCAACAAGCATGCAACACTGGAAGCTCTCCTTTGTCTAGGCCAAGAAATTTTGAAGACAGCTACCCAGCCAATCAAAAGGAAGATGTCCATATTTTTGCCCATTCCAAGCAAATATGATCAACAGAATGCATAAATTATCAAACCGTATATGAATATCACATGTAAATAAAATTTTGCTGGAGACAATACAAAAACTATTGCAGTCATACATGGACAGGGAACTGTCAGATATTCAAGCTGAATGGAAAATGGGATTTGACAAAATGGGTGCATAAGCAAATGTGGTGAAGAAAGCTGATGGTGACCAGCTATTAGAAGGTACAGCATCTGGGGTCTTAAAGGCCTGAAGTTAAACAAGCAGACATGTAGCAGGGAAGCAACAGAGCCCACAAGGAAGATGCACACCAGTCTGTGTGA